TCATTACTTAGTTAAAACATGGTCGACATGAATATTTGTCAATTTGCTGATGAAGTATGCCACAAACAGCCTGCAACGTTGGCACAACAAATTTTGGAAAACTGGGTGAAAAAACCCAGCGCTTTTTTGGGGGGGGGGGTTGGTAAACAACCTAAAACACACTCTACACGCACGTTACTAGAATAATTTTGAAGTAACCGTGCTACACGTCATTTCCGACGTTTTGCTCTTTAGCTTACCATGCAATGTTACACAGCGTCTGATTGGGCAACTTTCCAACAGGCGCATCCAATCCAACTTGGCCATTTGTTTAACATAAAATATGTGCTTACCCAGGCTGATCCTGCCTGGGTTGGTGGAGTTGGCACCAACAAACCATGCGATTCAGACGATGGTATGTGTGAAGTTTGCAAGTGATTGGCCTAGGCATGTCCAAGATGTCAATCCATGAGTACCCATCATTTTCCCCCTAATGGACTGCTGCCTATAGTTTCATACACAATTTTCCTGGTAAAAGTCATGGTTTTGCAAAAATGATGATCAAGCATCCATCTCAAGCACTTCAGTGACAGTAAATTTCTGTGATGTTGAAATGACGCGTTTGTGTCTATGCTCATCTAGAACAACTTGAATTTTCAAGGTGAATATTCTGGCGAAGAACTCCACTATCACCTTAAAATATTTCATAAGGACCAGGCTATTAGCCAGGAATTTGCAACTGCCAGTCCAAAACAATTTAACTTCATGAAAAATGTAGATAGTTATGGTAAAATTATAAAATGGGGAAAAATGGGAAAAAGTTGCCAGTCCAAAATCGAAGTTGCTAGTCCGTTTGGTGGGTGGACTGGTTGCTGGCTAACAGCCTGATTAGACTAAGTACTGAGAAACATTTTCACAGAATCAACCCTTCAGCGAAAATAAATTCCAAGTTAAAATAAAGTATTCTACAGTACTTTACTTCCTATGTCAACAGCAACTAGGAGTCATTAGCTTATTACGTGCAGAGAACATGAATCCCGTCCACGAGATCCGCACCACACAACATG